CGTGCGCCGTCGTCTTCCAGCCTTTTTAGTTGGAACTCGACGAGGACGAAGAGAAGTCGGAACTGGAGGCGGACTCAGACTTGACCTTGTTCGCTTTGGCCTTGCCAAACCAACAAACACGACAAAAACAAAGTGAAAGCAACCAGGCCAAAGGCACGAAGCGAGACAGTCGGCTCCGGTGGGAGTTGCAGATCACGTCGCCTTTCAACAAGGAGCCGCCACCCGCCAAAAACAAAACAGCAACCAGAATGACAAAACAAAACAACGCGCTGGCGTCTTGGTCAGTCGCAGCTTCAACGCTGAACGAATCAAACTCCGCTTTGTGACTCCTATGGCAGCGTCGTCCATCTAGGCAGAAATCGCGTTCAAGCAGAAAATTCCACCAGACCCGGCCTTGCCACACAGAGTGCATTTCTTCTGCGGAAACGCATTGTGGAAGATTGGACCTTTCGAAATTTACGCGGAATTCGAGCACAACTGTCCAAATGCAGGACGAAGCTTCTTCTCGAGCGTTAGCAATGTCGCTGATGGAAGTCCTGGGAGCAGTCAAGACACAGAGAAAGAACTTGAAGGGACTGCGCAAGGCCTGAATCCAGTCCGTCAACATCTCCGCGTGCTCTGATCGCGTGGATAAAACACCAGCCTGGCCATGGCGTCTCAACAGAGACAGAAGAAGGGCGATAAAAATCGAGCTACGTTCCATCGATGTTTCGGCTGCAAACTTTGCACTGCTTCAGTAATGGACCGGATGTTGTGCAAATTTTGAAAAACATCAAATTTTGAATCCAAAAACAGTCCCGCACGCTGCAGTTTTTTTGCTGGCTTGCCGGGTATTTTTGGATAAGATATGTCGTGCTCGGCCTGGTTTTATGATACGTACTGCAACTGCCACAGGGGTGTCTCCGATGCTGCGTAGAAATGAACTTCCATGCGTATTCCAATGGCCGCTTGTGGTCACGTGGGCACTTGCACTGCTGAAGCTGTTACCTCCGGAAAGGCAGGCCGGGAAGCTCACGCCTCTTAAATTCATTACGATTCGTCTTGGTGCTGTATACTGTAGACTTAGTCAAGACGGAACACGCATATATATATATATATATATATATATATGTGTGTGTGTGTGTGTGTTACATGTATAGGGAGCGCCGCTGTGGGAGCCACCAAATCAACATTACTCACGGGAGTGACCTGGTTTGCTTGCTTCACGCTTGCCTCCTGTTGCGACAGGAAGAGAAAGTCTGCATCCTGTTGCAAGCTTTCTCTTGCTGTCGACCAACGGATGACACTTCGCGCCACCATCCATTTGGCCCACTTCCAGCTTCTCACATTCTTGTTCAGGATGCTGGCTTTGCTCAAAATTCGATTTTTCGTTTCTGGTGTGGATGGTTTCATGGAGCGGAACTTGCCCACAACCACAACATCTCCCAAAGCCCTTGCACTCTCTTGAGCTTTTTGCGCATGGTTGCAGGGACTTTCTCCACCTTATCCCAGCGAGCTTTTGCACCCCCGGGGGCAAGCGGCGCCTTGAAATGTTGAGATTTTGTGGGGCCATTGACTAGGGACTAGTGGCAACAGGCAATCAAGCGGTCAAGCAAAGCACTTGCAAGCATAGTTAATGTGATGGTAAGGGAGGTTTGTCATCCTTGCAGGAGTCTAAGAAACCCTCGTGTAGTTCCACTGGCTGCGGAGATTTCCGTCGCTTTCGTATTCAGACATGAGTCGAACTCGAAGATGAGGTATTGGAAATCTTGGATGTCTCCGTCTTCGCAGCTTTTGGAGGTGTGCAGACCTTTGCTCGAATGGCAACAGGTTACTGCACCCTCCCCGTAGCTCTTCGTCGTTTCACTTTCCGAAAACCTTTCAAGGACGGCGAGTGGAACACAGATTTTTGTAACAGCATCCTTAAAGCACCTGACGATTTCTGCATGTCCTTTTCGTAGCTCTATGGGAACATCAAGATGTCACCTCTTATGTTTCACCTGGGGAGGGATTGGATTGACCTTACAGGTCTGCTCCGCAAAAAACAAGACCTGACTGGATATTGCAAGAATGCTGAGCAGACAGTGATTAAAGAATGGTGGACTCGGAAGGGACTTTTATCTTCTGGATGCGCGGTCTTCTGCAGCCATCTGCCGGGCTTGGGGCACGACTGGGCAGGCTGGCTGCCCTGTCAGGTGCCCGTTCCAGGCTGCGTCGCAGCCTTGCCTCGCCCAATGTCTTCTGAAAAAGAAGGGGATCATGGTTTCATGGTGCGGGACTTTGCGGTTTTCTTTTGATATGCTCACACAAAGCTCGCTATACCCTCTTGAAGAAAGGTCAGCCCCTCGGTGAAGCTTATGCTGCTGCAAGGTGCAGTGCTTAGGCAATGCCAGACCACATGCTGTCGTGCAAGTAGCAATCATTGCCGGACAGTCCATGTTCCAGGGCAAATTCAATCCTCCGTTGCACCTGCTTCAACCACGTCGGCGTCTGCCACCGCACCTCCTGTTCCTGCAAGTGCTGCGGAGCTTGCAGTTCCTGGCTTCAACTCGGTGGTTGCAGTGATTCAATTATTCGACGTGCGTAAGTGCTGCTGATGTTCTAGTGCCGAGGCTGTGTTGTCATCCCTGAAATCTGCTCCTTAGATGAAATTATTGGTGCGAGTTGTTGATTTACTACCTGGTCTACTTCCAGGATGGCAGTGAAGGTGGCGAAGGCCCTGTCCTGCTGAGACGTGCTGCTGCAAGCCGCCAGCTGGGAGAGGGTACTTGGCTGAGACATTTCTGTCGGTCGGCAGTTGGTAGGAGTTAGTATCCAGCCGTCACATTTTTTGTATATAATTGTGGAATACAAGGTGTGGAAGAGGAACTGCGCCTTGCAGAAGATGCTCTTGACTTGTCACTTGGCCTGTTGTTCTGCCGCTAGCCTTCCACTTCAGCTGAGTCAGAAGTGCAACGAATGATGTCCTGTGGTCCCATCATCATGTTCCCGATCTGTCCAATGCTTTCGAGGATGCTGAGGGCAGCAGGCATGTAGATTTGAATCCACACGTCGAGCTTAGAAAATTCTACAGGTGCAGCATGCGCAGCAGTCGGCAGAGAATTGTAGCATCGTGCCAGCACATGGTTGAATCGAGCAGCAGAAGCCGCCTGATGATACGACACTGTCTTTGGATTTTGGTGTCGGCAGAAGTGGCTACGCCACTAAAGCTTGCAGTACTTGAGCACGAAGTACGTCAGAGGCCCTGCTTCTGCAAATGTCTGTGTGGTTCATTGCTCGCGGTATCATCCCATTTCAGGTGGCCTAATTAACTCCAGGAGGTGCCTTTACGGGAGGATTCCTTGTGTTTCAAGTTTCGTGGCATCAGGACTTTATTCGAGAATTGCCAGCGATTGTTGCTCTTCAGATTTGGTCTGCCGCACCGTCAGTAGGGTGCGGGCATTGGGCATAGTAGCAAAGGATAACAGAACCCAGCGAGCAACGATCTTCGCCATGGATCCCGCATCTCTGACGAAGTTGCTGCTCTCATGTCAGTAGGACCCCTGCCCTCACTTCTCTGACAGGCAAGATGGACCTTCTACCATAGCTGCAAATTTGGAGGTGTTCGAGGAGAAGGCCGAGGAGTCCAGTCGCAAAGGAGTGCAGCTGCTTGTAACACCCGAGTACGGTCTGACGGGATTTCCCGGCTCGGTGCGAAGCCAATGGTGGGACTATGCTATTGACATTCCAGATGTGCCAGCAGATGTCCGTTCTGTGCCATGCTTGGAAATTTCGACGAAGTTTCCAGCAACTGTCAAAAGACTGAGTTGCATAGCTCGAAGTTACCGACTTGTTTTCGTCGTTGGCTTGATTGACCTGAAGCGGTGCTCTCTCGAGCCCTATCCTGGCTGCGAGCACAGCAGGGACGGATCACTGTTGTTCAACACTGCTCTGGCTTTCGATGCGGATGGTGCGTACGTGGCTAAGTACCACAAAGCAAACTTGTGGGGTGAGCATGCCGCCGATGCAGGCAGCAGCTGTGTTTTGCCAGATTTCTTTTCCAAGGAGCTCAATATGTCATTCGGAGTCTTTGTGTGCGCAGACTTGATCAATGCTTGGCCTGCATTAGAACTTGTCGACAAGGGCATTCAGCACTTCGTCATGCCACTGAGCTGGTCGAACGAGATGTTCCAGATGCAACCCTTACCTTGGATTCAAGCTTGGAGCAAACTCATGAACGTCACCATTGCTGCTGCGAACTCTCGTAGTCCGACTTCCAGCGGGAGCGGTATTTTTTCTTCGGGAGTTCCGTTGGCAGTAGTGTATGATCTTTCGGCCAGGCAAGCAGATGAGTTGGCAGTGGCAAGTGCGCCAGGCTCGCTCCCCGGCCCCGGTCCGAAAGCTGTTTGTCCCACAGATCTTTCTCGAACAGCGGCGCTCAAGCCTCACGGGTCTCAGTGGTTGACATATCAGCTTGACATGTCTGTGGGAAGCCACCATGCCAGCGTGTGCAGCAACTACCAGCCTGGCTTCGCAGATGGACCGACATGCTGCAATGTGACGTACACGTCTAAAGCAGCTGGAAAGGGCTACGTGCTTGTGCTGCTGAATGGTCTGGACTTTGCACCTGGAATTGAACCGTGGGCAGGGGAAGCATGTGCGGTGCTGCCATGTTCCGACGGAGCGGATGATTGCTTATCTTATCCCGCAGAAGCTCTTTCACGTCATAAACCGAGCTGGTTCGGTGAGTTCTCTGCAGTGGAGTTGCAAGTTACATTCTCTGTGCCGCAGCTTGTGTTTCCACAAGTTCTTTCTGGCGACGGTTTGCTTTCCCCCCTGGAGTGGCACCTGCAAACTACTGCTGAATCCTACAGGCATAGGCTTAGATTGTCCAGCATGGCTGCAGAGCAACTTTTGTCTCTACAGTTGTATGGCCGACCATTCATGAAGGATCCCGATGCGAGTCAGAAGTGCCCCTGTACACTTCGAAGCTTGGACATGTAAAGTCGGCAAAGGAAAAAGCCAAAGGTGCGGGTCCACAGGATCACCAAATCGAGATGAGCATTGCGCCTGTCCAGGTCGAGATTTCTGAAGCTGTGTGGGCCTTGAGCGGTTTGAGAACATCTGAGGTTCAGAGCTGAGGGTGGTTGCTTGATGCCATCGCCGGCACGTGCCACTTCTTCGACAGCCTTACCTTCTGCGTCACACAATTGGGAGGCCACACCAGCCTTTAGAAACCCGAGCCGCTGCGACAGACCGAGTTTTCCGAAGAGTCCTGTGCACGTGTTGAGGCATCAGCTCTTTGTGCCATTGCTGAAGCACATTTGGGCATCGAAGATCATCAGAAGGCTCTTGGTCTTCCGTGACGGAGATTGTGCATTTTTGTGCCTTCATGCGCACTTCGCTCTTCGAGGCCTTGGAAGCCGCCGAAGAGGCCTTGTCCCTGTGCCGCTCTCGCTCCTCACGCAGTGGGGAGGCCGAGGCAGGGGAAGACTCTCAAGTCTCAGTCTCTCTCTCTCTCTCTCTCTCTCATGATGTTTTTGGTAAGATCCGAACATTTGATATTGATGGGGAAGAAATCAGGCACTGGTCACACAATTCAAAGCGCAGCTCCTGACCATCCCTGCAGAACACCTGCGGAGGATTGTGCCAGGGCCTGAGCAAAGAGACGTTTGCAAGTGCCGCGATTTTGCTTCAAATCTAAGGCGCGAGTTGCTAGCATTGTGGAGGGAGCTTGGGGCTACATGGGGCGAAGTTGCGGACATGTTGGACTCTGCGCAGAGGCTCCCTCTGCTCTGCTGTTGTCATGCAAGCAACGTCTGTCGTTTAGAAGCCACTGTAGGTGTTGCGCCGGTGGCATGAAGCTGGATGATGCTTTAGCACAGGCTGCTGATAAGAGAGAGTGCCAATCTCGGCTTGCTTTGTGGACTTCAAGATCTTCTCCTGCAGTTCCTGCGGTTCCCGCGGCTCCTGGCGTGTGTGCGTCCAGTTGCAGAGGTCAGACCATCGATGGGGTTTGGCCCAGGCCGCAACTCTGATTGGCAGCACGAACGGCTGCGCTAGAGTCGCGGACCGTTCAGGATCTCTGCACTGGTCTTGTTGCTCACCCAGCACTTCAAGCGAAAGCGAAGCTCGCAAGACTGCTTGAGGCCTCCGGCATGCGTCTTTTGATGATGTCGATTTCGTCTGTTGTCTCTCAGCCACTACACCACTCAACGCACGTCGACACACAGCGAGTTCACTTCCGAAGGACTTGCTCGCGGCAAGCCGAAATTGCGGTGCGTTGACAACGCACGATACGCAGGCCAAACCCATTCGAAGCATGGCACTTGGTCGGAATTTCGCAAGTCGCGAGGTATCCGCGGCAGAGGCACTGCTCGAGGCGAGATCTCGCTGAGGGCGAAGACGAAAGATTTCTCACTCATCTCAGGCTTTCAGATGCTTTGAGCACAGGCCGGACGTCTCGACGAGGCCCGGCGGAGAGCAGCGCGGCTCGGCGAGGCGAAGTGCGGGAGGGTAACCCGAGAAGGACGAGACATGACGAGACGTGAAGAAGGGCGAGCTGCCGGGCTGCTGGCGCATTGCGGCTCAAGCAGCTCAAGAGCTCAAGCTTTGCCCCCCGCACTTGTACCAGTCTGGCAGCGGAGAGCCGAGGAGACTGTCGGAGCCTGCGTGGCATGTGTCGAATGGGTTCGTTGAGAGATTGAGAGGTCATGAAACTGCAATGTCGAATCGGATGTGCAATTTCATGCCTGTGAAACTGAGCGGTTTCCGTTTGGGACAAATCACGAAAGCTCCCCCATCAAAGGGGAGCTTTCAGGGTCAGGGGTTTTTAGAGGAGGGGCAACCCCAAAATGCGCCGAGCTGTCCCAATGCTCTGCTGGTAAAACACCCTGACCCGAGATGAGCTTTGGACCTTTATCACACTGTGGGTTTGAGCTTTCGTCCCCACTCTCCCTTGGGCGTAAATTGGTTCAAAGCGCTGCTTGCACTTCAGGTGGCGCACGGAGTGTCGAACACCCGTGCCTTGCGGTTTACACGACTTGCTTTCCTGCAGTTTCCTGGGAGAGAGCTCCTTTCAGATCTTCACTATCTCAAAGAAGGGCACGGAGGGCCATTTTGCAGGAGCCTTGCCGTTGTCTGTGAGACCCTGATGCTGAGTGTCAGCTGTATATGGCAATGAGGCCACCCCTTATTAACAGCGGTCTGCATACACGTTTGCGTGCAGCAACTTCGCAGGCTTTGGCAGGCTGCTGCGCTCTGGGGCCTGCTAGCGAGATCGACAGCGACGCGACCAAGCCGGGCAGAAGCATTTGTCAGGCACTGTAACGGAGAGGGGTAAGCAAGTCGGAACATGTCAGAGTCGGCCTGGGCTTGCATTTTCAGCGCAGACATGTGTCTGTACTGCCGAGTGCGCAAATTCGTGCAGCCACCTGCCTTGTCCCAGGCAGAAGGTCCAATCCGTTGGGAAAAGGCCACAGGTGCGATTCCAGACGCCACGAGATGGAATCATAAATCTTTCTCCAATGAACGCAGGAAGCTGCCGAGGAGGTTCCTGGCCAAAGGCCCGTTTTCGGGTCGTTGATCTGCTAGCGACAGCTCAAATTTCATTGTCAACCTGGGGACGCTTATTTTGAGTTTGTCAGTTTGCCTTGGCGATGAGTCCTTGTCTCCCGTTGAAGGACGCACAATCGGCTCAACCTAGACAAGGACTCGCCTGCTCAGTGTGCTCAAGCGATCTAGAGCCAGAGCTTCTGATGTGATGAGGAGTTGAGAAGAGAGAACGATGCCGTCGGCACAGCCAAGCCACGCCAGGCCAGGGTGCCATCATAGCACCTGGAAAAGCAAGCAAAGACTACCGTGAGAGCACCTAGTGACATTTAAAGTGCTGCAGCTCGAGCTGTAAGACTTGATGTTAAGAATTTCGTGCAGCTGCACTTTTAGGCTTGGGTTGAGATCTCTGCTAATGTTTTGCATGAGGAATCGCCAGGCTTGTTAGGAGAGCTGGACATGGGCGTCTCGTTTATGGTTCAGGGATATGAGGGTCAAGGGTTGGCGTGGTCTGCTGTTCGAAGGTATGTCTGAGCTTTGGACAGTGTAGGGGCACGAAACTGACCCTAAGCCGACGCCCCAACCCACCATGTAGAATTCGTGCATTTTTCACAGAAGCAAGAAACTGGTGCTGTCACATCTTATACAAGCAGAAAAAGCTTTTGGACTGACAGAGGCAGGGCAGCCTCATTCGGGGCTTGAGCAAGGCACGATTGCCAGCCGCAGGCCAAGACAGCTGCTTCCCTGTGTCCAGTGCTCGTGGGCTCCTTCCCTTTGCCTCTCCACCATTCTGCATTCTGCATGTCTTTTACTCGATCAAACTTGTTTTAAATGTCCTGTCCGTCTTTGATGGCTGCCTACTGCAGTAGTTGCAATTCACATTGTCTGAATGAGCTTGTTGAGCTGCTGGTTCTTACACTGTTGCATAGGACCAGCCGTTGTAATCGGAATGGAAAAACAGCGGGTAGTTGCAAAGAGCAGGTCAGTTGGGACATGTGAGCCTGCAAGTCCAAGGTCTGAGACAGAAGCAAAATCCTCATCAGGATCAAGGCGTGGTCTGTGGTGCAAAGATTGAAGCCAACTGCCGTGATGTCTAGTTCGCAGTACGGCCCAGAGGAACAGTCGGTGGGTATCACCAACTCGATCTTTCGGGCATGGTGGCAGAACCCAGGAGCTTCAAAGCCGTGCGCATCATTGTCTATAATAGCTTGGCATGAAGACATGCTCCATCTCGCAAGCAGGACAGCAGATCCTCCTCAGACCGTCAGGAGTGAGTTGATGATGGCTGAGTATTGGTCCCTCGGCCGACACAGCGAATCGATCAAAGCCCTGCATAGTAGCAATATGCGGGTTCTGGCACCAGACACTGTGGATCGATCCTTTACTTACCCGCGCCGTCATGGCACCAGCTTCCCGTATTCCCTCGGACTGCAAGATTGTGCGATTATGCCCCACAGTGAGGTCTTGATTGTCACTATGATCTGGATTGTCATTACGACCGTGATTGCCAATATGCCAATTTCTACATTGCCATCAACACCTCTTGAACGATTGCCAATCAGACTGGAAGGATTACCATTATGACATGTTCATGCCGATTGCCATCTAGCCTTTGGCTGCTGGTTTCGAACTGGAATTTCACTTGCATTCGCACCAGACCGTCAAATTCAGGTCGGTATAGTCAGTTTCATCGCTACAACCAGAACATCAGTTGAGGATGCTTAGTTTTCTCCTACCTGACCTCACATCCTCGATTTTGACACAAGTTTCCCACCTTCATGCTGGAGGTTCTACGTTGGTTTTTATGTCATCCCACGCTTTCTCGTCGCACCGATGAGGGAGATGGGCGACTCCCTGTCGTTAGCCTACTTGACCGTGATTCCTATGCTTACGTGTTTAACCAGCCATGGGAGGCTACCAATACGCTGCAGCCGGTAACCTCTGGAACATCCCAGGTTGTCAGGACTGCAGGTGCGTGAGCCCATGCACTACAGAAAGGCACATTTCTGGATCACTAACAATATGATTTGTTCCAGATTGCACCGACAATTCTATCTTATCATGCCCCTTTTTGAGTCATTCCACAGTGCTGTCCACGGGAGCCGGGACTGCGGCCTTCCCCTCTATGCCAACATCGATCGACTTATCAGCGCTCCATTTTTTATTGGCGAGTGGTCACGAATACCCCTTGTGCGTCGGGTAAGCTTCGTCGACGACTATAAAAGATTCCTTTCACACAAAGTTTTTTCCGCGGTGGCCGGAAAATTTACTTTAGTCCTGCCGCCCCAAAAGTGTAGCGAAAAGCCCTGTGCAGATCTGCCCATCGTGTATGGACTTTCCCTGAACTTGTTTCCCATGCTTTACGCTTCCGCCAACTTTTTTGGATGTCACCGTGCGTTAGTCCCATTGAAAGGGCTGATGGCGAACGGTTTTAGTTGTGGACACTTTTCGCATCCCGAGAGAGAGAATGAATGTAGCATAACGTAGCAATCCGCAGAGCCCCTGCTATTAACACAATGGGATCTGGAACTGCTTCAGGCATGGGCGGGCCACAACGAGACGGATGCATCTCAAGGCGGGGTAAAACGCGGTTTTTGTTGTTTCATGGTATCATTAGATGTGTAGCAATCGATGGACCGATTCCCTGTCCAGGATGTGATCTTTGCCTGGCTTGTCTGCAGTGTGGCGGGACTGGATCTTTGATTAGAAGCAGCTCTTGAATTGCTGGGCTTTGGGCCCGAATGTGTCCCAAGCGCAAAGATGCGGGGAAGTTCAGAGGAAGTTACAAGGTAGCTACGGTTTTCAACAGGCATGAACTGGAATTGGCATCCGGGGTTCCTCATAGTCTCCCTGCCGGCATGCAGTTTGAAGATGCGAGAATTGGCGACAACAAAGGTGGGCGTACTCGTCATCGTCGGTGCGTTTGGCTGCTGCCAGTTGATGCTTCTGTCCTCGCAGTCGCGCAAGTAGATAATTAGTCTTAGAGAGCTGGAGGCCACCAGAGCTTTGCCGGCTTGCCTTCGATTGCGTCATCTGCGGCATAAAGACGGTTGCAAGATGCATCTATCGAGCTGATTCTTCTTCTTTTGTGCCTTCCTTACACAGTAGTTTCGCTTTTGTCGGCATCGCATCATCCTTTTTCGCTTCAATATCGCAAAGCTGTTTGGATCCATTTTGCCTCGTGACTTTGCAGGATTCATTGGTGACTTCTCGGAGAGACGAGGTGTGGAGTTTGAGTTCGTCCCACTCGAAAGTCACAGCGGCTGATAGTTCCGCGGGTGTTTGTAGCAGCTCTTGCAGGTCAGGGCGTTGTTGGTTATCGGCCGCTTGCGACTGAGCTTGCCACTGCCTGCTGCCACTGATTTTTGTTTTGGCTTCTCGAAGGTGCTGCCTTGGCTCTTTCAACAAGAAAGGCTGGTGAGGCGGAGAGCTCCGGCACCTGATGCACACGACAAGCCCAGCCCAGCAGCCGACAGGCATTCCGCGCCGGTGCAAAGGCGATTGGTTGCTTCCGAACCAACTCGCTCCTGCCATGATGCTATGGCATTGCCGAGTTCCGGCGAAGATGTGGCGTGTCAGGCAGTCGCACGAAGCCGTGAAGTTGGCCATCGAAGAGGTGTGAAGCTTGCTGTTCACAAGTTGCATCAGGGCCCTACATAAACCGAACCCTGCACTCGTTTACCTATTTTCGACAGCCAGTGACTCCATACAAGGAGCTCTGCTGGCAAAATGCTCGAATTTCCTTTTCATGCAGACATGGACGCATGCAGTTGCATTCCGAAATTATTTGGAAGACTGGGATCAGAGGAGCAATGCAGGCTGAGCGATGGTGTAAGTGTGGGTCCATCAGAGTCCTTTCAGTCAGACAAAGGCAGTCTAGCGCCTTTAATTGAGTGTCAGGTGCATAGCATGCTTGATTCTTCTATAGAATGTAGGCGAAGCAGATGCCCTGCACTTCTTGGCGAAAGCGTGCTTGGAGACCGAAGGCACGTTCTTTGGGTTTGACTCCAATCTGTGCAGAGCTCTTGGGTCTTCCTGGGTGCCGGCCGTGAGGTTTGATAGATGAAGCGTTTTGCCAGCTCTTGGTTCATGGTGATGGTCGTGATGCTCTGCCGCATCGCATGGTTTCACATGCAAGTTATACGGCTTTGCTGAATATATAGGGCTCACGATATTCAGTCAGGTTGCCATCCACTCCGCCAGTAGCAGCATTAGCGAAGTCTTGTGTAGGTAGCCTTAAAACTCTCCACTTTTGTGGACAAGAGATGCTTCGCTGATGCGGTTGTTATTGCTCAGTTGACATCTAAGACGTCACAGTTAACTGTCCTTGGTACGATGATGGTGCTGTGCCAAAAGAATTTATTGCTGAGGCACAGTAGGTGTGTAGGTGCAGTGCTGATTGCTGAGCAATGATTGCTGTATCGGGTTTGGGAAGATTCCCCGATTCCCTTCCCTCTCGCCGCATTTTATCTGTTGCTACAGTTGTTGCAGCCTGTGAATACTTGCTCGTTTGTTGGTACCTTGCATCTCACGTCGAGATGCTTCCTTACAACTAAAGTACTTAGATTTGGAGAGGGCGTCGGAATACACGCCATGCGCTGTTTCTCGGCGTTTCTTGTAGATTTACCACAAGGCAATTTGCATCTTCACGATTTTGACTGTCTTGTGTGGGCTCTGACCGAACATAATGATCTAGGCCTCCAGGCTACCTTAGATGCCTACTTTGGGCCTGATGGGCTGAGAAAATGTGCCAGGATTGTGCAAAGGAGCAGTTGCTTCGTTTCAAACGTTGGGGGCATCCACAGCGTTTTAATGGACCAGCCAGGAAAGAAGCTTTGGTCTTCCTGGCAGGAAGCTTTGTGGTTCCCTTTCCGGGCTCCGTGTGGAGCGCTTCCCGCCACGACCTTCAACCGCGTGCTCAGTGCCGTTGGATTGGAGAGCTGGCGCAAAACAGTGCTACTTCTGTCAAGAGCACAGAGTGCCATCGTCGTGGATACGGTTTCCTTCAATGCCTCGGTCCGCGCATGCACGGACCTCTCTGCTTGGCATTTTTCGAGCATTTTGCTGATGTTGATGCGATCCAGGAACCTGGCACCAGATGCTTTCACTTATAATCTAATGCTGCGAAGCTTTGGAACCCTTCGAAGCAAGTCCTGGGAGTCTGCCATCCGTGTCTTTTTTGAAAGTTTTTGTCGTAGTGCCGTCGAATCCGACATCGTTGGCCTGAACTCCGTGATACATGCTTGTGCAAAAGGCCAAGTTTGGAGCAGTGCGCTTTGCCTCCATACAATTTCATCCGTACGTGGTCTATTCGAGATCGGCGGTCCACAGGGAGCCAACGCTGCGATCAGTGCATGCCGAGACAAGGCTTGGAACGTTGCTCTTGTTCTTCTTAGTGGACTGCTTGAGCAGCGAACTGCTTCTGTCGTGAGTTACGGTGCCACCATTGCTGCTCTTGACGAAAGCAATTGGGCAAAAGCCTTGCACCTGGCAGTCCTCGCCGAACCCAGCCGCCCCAAAACCGTCATATGCAACTCTGTTATGTCAACGTGTGGCTGGCGTCGTGCGTGGTCTATTCTCAGCGGCATCTCATCACCAAGCATGGTGAGTTTCGGCAGCGCGCTTGGCAGCGGACGCAGAGGAGGATCCTGGCCGCTGACATTATGGTATTTGGTGTGGATGCTGGCTCGCAGGTTCACACCGAATAGAATAACGTACAATGCTGCGGTCGATGTTTGCAGACTGCATGGCCGTTGGACCCAGTGTGTTGCAATCCTAAACTTGCTGCAATTGCAGTCGAACGAAAGTCGCTGGCACAGCACCATCATCTATGCCTGCGATGCTTGCCTAAAGGCTGACAATTGGCAGAGTTCGCAGGTGCTGCTAGGTCTCGACCAACAGCGACTGGACGCGGTAGGGAGCTCACTGGCGATTGCCAGCAGCTCAGCATGGCCGACAGCGCTTGCGACTTTTGGGAGCCTTCAGTCTCGACACGTTGAAGCTGGGTCTGCGACCTACCACGCTGTCGTGGCAATCTCGCAGGAATGGTCGGAGTGGCAGAAAGCGCAACAGGTTCTCATCGCAATGCAGATGTCGCAGGTGCAGACATCGCTGGCTACGCATGCCACGGCCATGCAAGCCTACAAGAAATCTTCCAAGTGGGATTTTGCAGTGCAGCTATTTGGCAGTGGCTCGGATGCTCTTCAGGCGGATGCCATACTTCAAAATGCTGTCGTCGATGCCTGGGGACAGCTACACAAGTGGCAAAGCGCCATGTTCCTGCTATCCTCAATGGCTTTGAGCCTGCAAGTTCCAGACCTTCCGAGCTTCAATGCTTGCCTTGATTCATGTGAGAAATGCAAGCAGTGGAAGATGGCCTTGAGCTTACTGAACAGAATGCGGGGCTTTCAAGAGTCTCAGGGACCACGCCCCGCGGCAGCGACCGTTGAAGCTGTGCTGGCTGCTTGCGAACGATGCTCCAGATGGCAGCACTCTCTACTAGTGCTAGAGGACTTGGCCGATGCAACTGAATTCAGTGGTTCGCGGGACAGGGTGCCGCATGCTTGGACATGTGAGGCAGGTGTAGAGGCTTACTCTAGGGCCGGGCGACAACGGAAGATCCCAAGTTTATTGGAGCAGTTGAGCGAATTCGCTCAGATTGGGCTCACACGTTTTGCTGCAGTCAGTTGAAGCATGTCCAGGAAGATCTCCTGCAGAGATGTGTCCACTTGCTCAGGTTGAACAAAATCCGAACTTGCAAGTGCTTCTGAATACAGCATGAGCATGAGAGCGAGGGAGCGCGAGCCAAGCGGTCGCAGCGGTTTTTGCTTTTGTGAGGCATTGGAACTCCGGAAGATGCCTTAGAGCTTTGCTCGGAAGCAGGCGCCGCGCGGCCTTCAAGTTTAAAGCACGGAGCAGTACAGTGCAGCACAGGATCACGAGGCTTGCGAGAGGGCTAGTTTCGCAGACGACAAAGATGAAGTGACGAACGAATTTTCTCTGGAGTCAGGACCAACATTGCTCGTATTTTCAGGCTGCTTCGTTTGAAGCCTGTGCAGTGTAGACAACTTCACATCAAGAAAGGCCGGCCCCCCTTCCCCCCAAGGATGTGAGTCCCAACCTCGGTAACAAGAGTCGGGATCCAGACAGAGGCCCTCAAAGCCATCAGCTCTAAAAGTCCCCAAACGCTCCAGAAGCGATTTGGAAGCGACCACTAACTTCAGAAGCTGTTTTGGAGCCTTTTAGCGCCGCCCCCAAAGCTTCCAGAAGCTTGTTTAGAATCCAGAAGCCAGAAGCGTCACAGCCCTGCTCAGAGCCCTGGAGAACCTCAGGAGCCTTCAAGCCTTTTCAGCTTTGAGCTTTCATCTATGTAAGCAAGATTCTGGTTACACTTTTTCCGCTCCGGCCGCTTGGATTCTGCAAATTCCGGGGGGGGGGGTTTCTAATTCCGTTCTGTGAATTGGATTTTGTAATTGCGCGGGGGATTCTGCATACTAGTATGAGGTTGACATCAGTTCAGCAGGGATGCAAGATAGTAGAACAATCAACCTGTCGCCTGCCTGTCATATCGTCAAGTGCATGTGGCAACTGGGCTACTTCGATTGGGGATCGATTGGGGGAGCTGTCCTTTTTCGATCTTGGTTGTGTGCCGCATGTCATCGTTGCAGTATGGATTGAGTGGTGAGTGCTCTGCCACAGCGCGGTAGCTCACTAACAACCCGGGATCACCCAACCTTTGAAAGAACTTCTCATCAGTTGTACACTTACTAATCAATAGAGACTCGAATTGGGTTCTATCTTGTCAGACTGGCACCGAAATGTAGGGTCGCGGCCTCGTGCCACCGCCTGTGAGGAAGACGCAGGTCGCTGGCGATCCCCCTCCTTTTGCTGCCCATATCAAGCCCAGCAGAGCAAACAATCGAGACTGAGAAGGGAGCGCATACTATCACACACACTGGACGACACGCGCCAGGAAATGCATGAGAGCGGGCTCTGCTCACGGAGAGGGCGCGCGAACTGGTCGTAGCACAGCTCTCCAGACTAGCTAGCATGAGGCAGGGACTTCGCGCCTGTGGGTGGTCATTCACCTGGAACTGTCGTACTCACAGCATGAACTAGCAATGCAGAGGGGGCGAGAAGATGCCCTGGCCTGCCGGCAGCATAGTCCTGCTTTTGGCAGGCCGTTTGTACTGCGATCTTGACGAGCGCCGTGGGGTCAGCAGCTTTGCAGATCTCTGCGATCTATAGGGACATGCAGGCAAGCAAAGTCATTTTGACGGCATCTTGCTGTCAGAACATGGTTCGAAAGCATCACACGAGGTTAGTACCCTGTTGACAACGTTATCGCGAGCTCACTTGGCCTGCCATTCGTGCTTGTCTCAGGCTGCCTTGAATCCTTTTGTAATGTTGTGGCAAGCAGTGCACAGTCCGCTTTGGTCGTCAACTTGGAGCCGAGGTTTGCTTGTTGTGTTGAGGTTGTTCCTGCCTCCCGCTCTTGGACTCACTCCATCTACCTTGCTTGATCGGAGAATGGGGCAAACAAATGTCGAACCATGCGAAACATGGGAGAGGTGATTATGCTGTCGTTGTCGTTGTTTTGAAACAAGCCGGGAGAGTATGTTTAGAGGTGAGAGAATCTGCGGGTAGATTGACGTATACGGGCTTGAAATTCAGATCGAAACTGATGTCATGATGTCACTCGATGAGGCGTGCTGATATTGATGAGATTATCATTCATGTCCGGACTCTGCTATACGGGTAAAACGGGCGAGAACGATTGTCGACCGTGCGCCAGCGAGTGTACACAAGCTCGGCATCAAACGCACGAACAAAGTTCGGGCAGGGAACTTCCGAGGAGAAGCTACACATTGTATAAGCATAGTACCATGTCAAAAGGCTACATGGTGGCCAACACTGAAGGTCCGGAGGTTTTGACACGCACAAAAGAAAGACAAGCCCAAGCCATGGGTCGCCTCGCGGACAAATACGAGCAGTTATTTTCGGCAGTGTCGGGACATCGAATCTTTCGCCTCATTTAGCGCGGCCTCCGGCCACACAGCCGTGTGGTGCTGGTGCCGCTGTTCTTTTCGTGTTCTGGTCAGCCTCCCCCTTGGCCCGTCCACTGCCCAGCCCACTGCCCGCATTTCCGGGCCGGCTTTTGTGGGACACCCTCAGACCACGATGCTGGAAAGTTGGCGTCGACTCATGCTCTCACGTTAAGGCCGGAAGAGGCACTACGTGCAGCACGCGACAGCCTGCAAAGCTTGAGAGAGCTTGAAACCGAGCCAGGCAAGGACGGAATTTCGGCCGAGACATAGCGGCATAGCGTCGATGCAGACAAACTCTCCTGAGTCCTGGCAGGAGTGACGTCGTCACAGGATGGGCTTCCGTCGCGAAGTGAACGCTGCTTTGTGAGACAGCCTGCTTAAGCACACAGGATGGCATTGTGGATAGGCCGTTCGAGCACATCGTGCAAGAGGCCCTTGCAACCTTGTGCCTGCAGCATCCTGCAGCCCGAAAGCTGAGCTGCTTCAGGTGCAGGCCCTCCTCTATTGTGGCAAGGCCGGCGGCCATCAGCGGCCAAGTGCTACTCCAGGCGTAACTTGCCTTGTTTGCCAGGCACAGGTGGCTTTGCAAAGAGGCGCAGTGTCCTCAGAATTGAGCGGGTTGCGCAAGGGGAATGGCAGGAGTCGAGACTGCCCGGAAGTTTTTGGAAGACGCCTTGAAGCTTCTTGAAGGACTGTTCCATACTGTTCCGTGATTCAGTAGAGCTGTGAAGCAAAGCCTGCCATGCAGGACTTCGAGGCTCGGTTCGCCAAGGCCGGACGAGATGCGGCGATGGGAGGCTCGGTTTTGGTGTTTGCAAAGGTGGAAGGCTCCCGGTGGCCGCGGAAGCTCAAGAATCAGAAATCACTCTTGCATGGGCCTCGTGGATTGTACTGCCCAGGAGATTTAGCGATGCAGTTGGTCCGGCTTGGCTGAGGTCCTGGTAGAAACGGAGATGGGCAGGGCACCCAAATGTCGGCAGAGAACCACATCAAGGCGAAATAGCGTTCTGCGCTTGCAGGTGAGCCAGCCAAAGCTGCTGAGAGGGCAGAAGATGCTCGCATGAGGCCTTTTATGCTGCAGGATTTTGCCATCACGAGGGGCGAAAGCTCTGAACTTAAATTCGATTGCAAATTGTGGCGAATTGCGGAGAATTGCGAGGTTCCGAAAGGATGGGCGCAAGGACCTGGAAGCTGCTGCATTGCAGCTCTTGGCCGCGGGCCCTGTGTTATGGTGTTCATGGCACAGCCTTTCAGCACACGAGGCCCGGGCTCACATTGCCCAAAAAGAGCATGTGCCTTGAAAGGGGCGGGGCTCAGAAATTTGTGAGTTCATGCGACGTGAAGAGCATGAGGCCGTCGGCAGGAAGAGAAGCAGCCAGAGAGGCTGAGCACACATGTCACGGCATCACCAGCATGAGAACAAGGGATGAACGCTTTCGTAGTCCTTTCGTAGCCACAATGTTATCTTTTTTCAGGCAATCCGTCTCCGGCAGGCCATCTGCTGATGCTTGATTCCCCCTGTCTTTTGGAGTTGACGGGTCTCGCATCTTCTGGAGAACAAGCATGTCCATTTGAGATGCTCTCGGACTCGAAGAAAGGAGCTGAATGACCCCAAAGGTGAGAAGGAAACGCTGCAGCAGGAAGCTCAGTTGGCTCCACATTTGTCTGCTTCTTTTGTGTTACGACCTGTCACAAGGCTCCTTGTGAGTGCAGAGCTTCTTGGAAACACCGGTTCTGCTTCAGCCTTGGGAGTTTGATGCGACTTCGATGCCTTTTTTAAGTGCTTCTGTCGCAAGAGAAGGCGATGCAGATCGCAAAGCAGGCGGTTTGGGCCTCGGAACAGTAAAGCAGGCAGTGCGGGATTGTGGCCTTTATCGACTAGCGAAGCTGTTGCACAGGTCGAGCGCTTCAAAAATGAAGGGGACAGCAGAAATGAAGCCTTGGCACTGCAGACAGTTGCTCTTAGCTCAATGGATTTCAGCATCGCGGCCTGCCCCTCTGCTGTGACAGAATGCGGGACCGTGCAGTAAGGCCAGAACCCACATTGCCAACCAGGAGTTTCTCAGAGCCGCACGTATCTCCAAGGTCGGAAATCGGTCTGGCCCAGCTTGTCTGAGCTTGTGTCCTCTGCGCCTGCCGCCTGCGTCAGGATGCCCAAAGAATCTTGGGTCAACTTGGGGCCTTAGTCTCAGGTGCTGTTTGTATCTCTTCGCTGCACTGCTTAGGGACTGACAGCTTGCCAAGGACACGGACGGCGAGATGGAGATGCTGCAGACCGCCGTAGTTTGCTGAGCATTGCAGTGCTCATGAGCCTGTCGCTGACGCTCTTCCTGTGTTGTTCGGTGACCCTGCGCGTGCGCACTTGGTGACACTCTTGACGGAGGGGCGAGGAGTGATGACAGGAGCATGCATTACATCCGTTACATGCTGGAATCTCGCGGCCTTCCAGCATTTTAGTGCGATCTCCGCCATCGACGCCCGCTATGGGTTTTGAACGGGAAGAATGAAAAGGCTTTCTAGTCTTGGGCACAAAGCGGAGAAGCTCAAGTCTGCGATGGCTGAGTGTGCATCCAGGTGAGGCTATGCATCAAGCCGTTCTGTCCAACGTGTAGAGTTGGGGAAAAGGGCCTCCCCACGGTGGAGGCCGGCATGGACCTCATGGATTCCAGATCAGGCTCAGGAGGGGTTCGTCAATATGAAGGTCCAAGACCTGTGAAGGATGGAGGGGCAGTGGGTGCAGGGTTGTTGGATAGTTCTTCGATGGCGAGACCAAAACCATTCATCCTGAAGACAAAGCATCTTTTTGAAGGCTGGAGTGGGGAAGAAATAGACATGAAACACTGTGTCTTGGTCTTTGCTGAACCATTTTCCATGTTACAGAAAGAGGTTTGTTACGTGGTAGCTCTTACAAGCAGTTACAGTAGCTGCTTAGTTTGTCGAGAAGCAGTACTTAAGGATCTCGAGCGGGGAGTCACTCTCTCGAAAGTTCCACGCCGAGTATTGCATCAGCATGATCATGAGGCATGCAATTGTGTGTCTTGTCTGGGTGGTGCTGGGTGCGATGTGGCGATCGTGCTCCAGATCCTCGTCTCATTTTCGACATGCAGTGAGGACACTGCATCCGTTCCAACGGTGGTTTTCATTTGCACATTCATGCATGCGCTATGCGGGCATGCGCGCTGGTCTTCAGTTACTAAGCAATCTAAGCAGACGGATGCAGATGTAAATGCCACCATAGTACAGTAGTAATTTCAATTCGAGAAGGCTGTCCAATGGCAGCGGTCATTCTTCCGCGACCGAAGAACGATCGTGATCTCTCGTCTTCAGGAGAAAGCATCAAGCTTATGTTTCTCACTCTTCTGAGTACCTGCCGTGGTCTAATCGGAGGGACCGACTAGCATTCCTGGTCTTATGCTCCAGAACATCGTGTCGCAGTGAGTTTTTCAATGTGACTACAACGATCTACCTGTCGACTGGCGAGAGGCGAAATTGTCGAGATTGTCTTCGCTGCTCCATGATTTTTCAGCCGGCATAATACGCTACCCGCCACTTAAAGTCTGAAAGATGGCCTGCAGTGCGACTCCGAATTTCCGGATTGGTAGTGCTCTTCAGTCACTCCGGGATCCCGTGCCCGTGCATCCGGCTTCGTGGTACCTCAATGCTGTCATTGAGGTGGAAGCGCACTTGGCACGTCCAGAAGCAGACGGCAAGGCGTCTGGCTGTGCGATATGTTGTTTTCGTCTGTGTTGTCACGACACTGGCATGTTGTCGTCAGGACGATGCCTTGCTCGTTGCTCAGCTTTCTTGAAATTCAAAATTGTAATCAGACAGTGCATGTGTGCCCAGGAAGGTGACTGTAGAAGCTCTGTCTGAGTTTCGTCGTCGCGACAACTTGCGAGGCAGGAGTACAGGATGCACCCCTGACAAGCAGTGTCCATCGATTCGATTTGGATGCCTGCCCTTGATTCCGGTGACAGCCAGTGAAAGCCATCAAAGCACTATACAAATTCGGGAAGCAAGCCGTTGCAGCCGACTGCCACACAGGCACAGACACGACGAGGAATTAGTTCAACAGCAAATGCACCCTGACACTACATTCACGCAAACTGACCGGGCGGTAGCGATTGTTCTAGCGGTTTTGCCATGAACCGCATTTTCATGCCTAGCGCTTGCAGGCCAAGCTCTCACATTGGGATTGCTCGTGCAAAGCTCAGGGCGAACGCTCATGCGGTCTGCATACGCATAGCAGCCTCATTGTTATGTTATTATGCATTTGCAACATGCCGAGGCACGCGTGTATCTACAGCTCCCAGACCCAGAAGCTGCAGTTCATGCTGTCAGGGAGCTGTTCGGTCGACTGTTTTCCTTATCCCAGCAGAGTCAGCTTCGTTCTACCATGGATGCAGGACGCTGTTGCCTTGTTCAGAGAGCTCGGCGCAGCACCCCCAGATTCATCAACAGTCTGCTTGGTTCAGCTAGCACGAGTGCCTACTGGCATACTGGCATATCATCAAGTAATCGAGTTGTCTGTTTCTGCTTCAGTGCACGAAGGACCGAAAGTCGGAGATGCTTCTGCCCGGATCTTACGGACTTGCCTGGCTGTTATCAGCAATCTGTTTTTTAGTTCTAGCTGTTAAGTACAAGGATCCGATCCATCATCAACGAAGATTTGGTGCCCGAGTCCATTGAAAGCGTGCGCCTAAATGGAAGTGGAAGGCGAAAGCTACAGCTGCTGAACAGGTTTAATTTAGCAGCAGCCGGACGCGAATTTAATCAGAATTTCGGCAACTGGCTTAGAAGCCAACTTTGCAGCCGACATGCGTCTACAATCATCCTTGGCTACTTGTTGCACGAGTTCAGTCCACCTGTCCGCCACCAAAGTCGCAATGCGAGCTGCATTCCTGCTTGTGCGTGACAGCCTTTTTGCATGTCTGCGTTCCGGTGTCGCCCGCACTTGCATGGTTTTTGAAGGTTGGCTGCTGCTTGCAGAGTTGTAACAGCTATTTGCAAGACGTTTGCGTTCAGTCACACTTCGGTTTATGCCGCGCGTGATTTTGTGCAATGCGCTGTAGAAGTGTTTCTGAGGCTGTGCGGAGCTACTTGTTCTTGTTTTCCAAAGTTGCAACATGATGACCCTACATCCTTCAAAGTTCTCCGACCGCAAGTGAGGAGAAGCCTCTCAGTACTGAGCAGTCGCAATACGGCGTGAGGATGTGATGGCAAGTGATGCTGTTCTTTGCTTGCGCCGCGAATGGACAAGAAGTTTGATTTTCTGCGTCGAGGAAACGGCTGTCCAAGGCAAGCTTGTGTCTGTGCTGGTTTACTTCCGCTCGTCGCTGTGATCGACTTCGCATTTCCCGAATGTTGCGGCATGATGTCCATTCCTTCAAAGTTCTCCGACCACAGACGTGGAGAGACATCTCACCACTGAGCCGGCAACTCGGGCATGGTTTGGATACACGATACTCATGCGGATGTTTGAACCGAACCTTGAAGTGAAGTGTCATCCGGGTATTTGGGAAGATGCCCGTCAAACTGCTGTCAATGGCGTGGCTTGCTTCTGCCGAAAGGCGAAACCGAAGCTTTGCACATACTGATTTGGGCATTAGTGCAACCCTGCCTGCTGATACAGGCATTTGTTCCACACATGCAGCGTTTCTTGTATTGGAAAGGACTTCGTCGGAAGGCCTGTCAGTCTGCGCTGTCAGTTTCAGCTTCTGAAGATCCCGGCTTGGGTCGAAGTTCACCCGAGCTCGCAACAACAGATCTTTCGGGACTTGACTTGAGATCTTCTGGTGTCGTCGGTCCCTTAGATTCTACGTCGTGATCGTCTTGGGTACTGTAGGATCTGGTATCTGGGCTCCACTGATTGATAGGGCGACCTCCACTTGTCTGATGCCTGATGCATATTTAGCATATTTCTTGTTGCATATCTTCGCCGGCTGTCTTCGTCCGCATGATGTCTTTCCGATCAGCTTCCTTCTGAGCCGTGTCTGTGTTGCGTTGTTTTCTCCCGGCACCACGGCCTGTTAGCCATGTTGCAACCAGAGTTTCAGACCGGCATGCTGGATACGCTAGATCATTATCGTGCGGTGCTGCCTATCTCCGCGAAGACAGCCGAGCCTTTCTCTGTTGGATTCAGCTGTTGACGATCTCTCCAAGCTCTGCGAAGAGACCAGATTCTGCGGGTCTTGGGAGTTCAGTGTGAGCTCATAGTTTCAAGGTGCAGATGCTTCGCTTCGGGCAGTGAAGGCCGCATTGGCAGCTGCGCTCCCAGAGAGGGCACACGGGAACCATGGAATGTGCAGCCATTTGCAACCTGGACTCAACAGAGCGCTTTTCAAAAAAGGTCCACCCATTGTATTCAACGTGTCTGATCTTTGAGGTTTGTCACCAGGCCGATGACAAGCGGGGCCAAGCAGACTTTGCCCGAGAATGTTGCGTGCGATGATTTTCGATGTGCGAAGTGAGGATCCTGTTAGAGAATCTGCCAAGGTGATGCTCAAGATTACCTTCAGGACGCATGTTCTGCACAAGTTCCCAACATAAAATCTCAGCTTGTCGTATCTTCTAGTGCTGTTAGAAGGTATCCAGAAGGCGGCTTGCTAGAGTGCTCCTTGAGTGTAGATACACCACATGGAAGACAAGCTATGCTAGGTTCACGTTGCCCACGGAGCCACAATCCGTTTTGATTTGGGGATGTTCATGAAGCTATGATGCCACCGAAGAATAGTGGGAACATTCTGGCACAGGTCAGGCCGCAGGCTCGGGAGGGTTGGTCTCGGTGTCAACGTAAAGGTGTTTCGCTTACAGCATTGGCAGGGCAGGCTGTGAGGTTGTTCGCTCGGTTTGGTTTCCTGGGTTGGGTGCAGTCAAGTGGGGGCTATGGCTCAGCTCAACTCGGAGGATCCTCCTTGCCAGAGAGCGGCCCGAGCGGGCTCTTCAGGCAGCCGAGGAGGACGGTGCCACTCTTTTGCTACTCCGTCTGGTGTACTGGGCATCGAAACTGAGAGGCGATGAAGATGTATCGCGAACAGGAGGACGAGCGCATGCTTCCTGGCCACGGCTTTCTGTTGCTTGACGTTCTGTTCCGCGAGGATCGTGCAGGTGAGGCGCAGATGGCTCTCCAGACAACGAAGGCCGGCATCCAGCGGCAACGATTGGGTCTCAGGGGCTGATGCAACCCAAGATCCCGACAAGAGCATCCATGCCTGGAGGTCCTCGTCGAACGCGAGGAGTTTCGAAAGGCTTTAAGCGCAGCTCAGAGAGCCGACCTTGGGCTTCTCATTGACTTCACATTCGGGAGATTGAGCTCGTGCCCGCTCTATAGGTGCTGTTCAACTCTTCAAAGAAGTCCAGGCCCCAGATATCACCACTTGTGCTCTCGCTCGCCCCCTTCTTCTGGCAGCTTGGCATCCTGTTAACTTGAAATCCTTGTTCCAATCGTAAAGCACGAAAGATATTCGGATTGGACATGCCTCGGGCTTGTGTTTGTTGTCTGAAGATCATTTCACGTGATCGTCTTTGGCTTCTTACTGCTTTTTTGTTTTTTTTTATCTCTTGGTTCCTTTTGGCTTCGGCAGCTGTGCGAAGAACAGATGTGCGATTGACATGGAAGCATATGGAAGCGGTTGCAGTTGGCCCGATTCTTCAATGTGTGTTTATGATATCCTCAGCGAATCGACCGAAAGACGGAGGGAAACCCGCTAGCCAGTAGTAGATGTAAGATAATGTCGTCAGCACCTCGAACCGGCTGTACTCGGCTTCACATCCGCTGAAGTGCTACTGGTCGCACTTCCAAGCAGACGCGTCTCCGAATTAAGGCCGGTGATGCGGCTGGGGAGCTCTCAGCCTTGCAAGCAGCTGTGGACGCCCACGCAGCGCGAGGCGCCTCCGGCCGCCTCAGGGGACCCGAGCATTCGCGCGTGTGTTCTCTGATATATTATTTGTTAGCTAATACCATGGGCGACTTGTGACGGCACGTTTGACAACGCAGAATGCTTTTACAGACACTCGTGGTTGTCCGTTTGTGGTCCGGTTGCATCCCCGTTGCTATGGACTTCCAGCATGTTCATCTCCCGGCTCGAAGCGGGAAGCGCTCGCAGAGCCTTTCAAGCTCTCCCAAAGCCGTGCAGCGGCCCCTTCCGTGCGGACTGGCGGTGTCAGGTGTAGAGTGCAGCTCAGCAGTACTGTGCTGTGTGACCCCGGCACAGGCGACCATGCCATGGTCCTCGAGTCCTCCAAAGAGGCATCGATGGAACTAAAGATCGCCCTAATTGCTGGGCCAGTCGCTTGCTCGCAGGTGTTGGAGAAGTGTCGCTTGTTGCAAGATCCTGCGTTGGGCTCTCGGAATAGTTGCGTTTCCTGTCCATCGGATCACCCGTGCTGTCTGCAGGTCCGAGGCAACACTACTGCAGCGGGTTTGTGAGGCCTGCAGCTTGTTATTAATTATGACAAAGCCTTGCAAAAGCCTTAGGTGTAATGTTGCACGTGAATTAACTCGAACTCGGTTTTCCTGTCCTTTCAGGTCTACTTGGAACAAGGCGGCAAGGAGAATGCCGAGGCGTCATGCCTTCCGCGCTAGCTGTGCATGAAAGACGGCCATCCACAGAGTTATGTCATGCAGCTGTTTTTGCAGCGAGGTCGTCGCACGCACTGCGAAGCAGGCGCACTCGCTTGCAAGAGCCGTCGACATCTCAGCTCACGGTGAAGCACTGAAGCACTCGGGCAACATCGTAACGGGCACGACTTCTGCAGAACACACCTCTGCACAGGCTGGGGATTTGAACGGCGAAACAGCGGCACTGGCTGCATTGGCCATGCCCTTACTGCTTGGAGAATGACCACGTAGCTTGGACTTGCTCTGTCCAACAGCCGTAAGCTCCGGCGGGGTGCAATCCGGCGGGGGAGCTCTGCTCATCTCTGCTTTCTGCTCTCCCCCGGAATCGCATGACTCGACATTCTCTGCAGTGCTCTGGCTCGGCCAGTGGCCGTGTCGGTCCGGCGACAGGGTGCTACGAGAAGCCTTCTTCATCCTTCCCTGAGCGGCGACTGCAAAGCCACGACACAATGTCAGCGTCAGAGATTCTCACCTCTGAGCGACATGTCTGGAAATGCTGCGAGGCTCGCTCTCATCTTGCTGCTTCACGACCGCAAGAGGCGGGATCACTCCAAGATTTCTAATCGATCTGCAGACACGCAATGCGATTCAGCACGAAATTGAGTGGTTGTTTCACATTGTATTAGTTAATCGTCCCGAGCAAGACCAGAAATCCTAGGGCAAGTTTTCAATCAAAGTTGGTTGCAGCTGCTTCTTGGGCCCTGGATGCTGTGGTGCGACAACGATGGCAACAGAAGAAGTGTATATCGAGAACGCCTGCGGCGAATCAGCGGCCGCTCCCAAAAGCTTTTTGCGGACGTTAAGAAACGACGAGCGCTAGGCAACACACGCAAGCTAAACGCTATAATGTGCCAAATAATCTTAAAGGCAATGTTACAGTTTCAGCAGCAGGTATTAGATGGACAAGAGGAGATAAAAGATCACGAACGCGAGCAAGCAGGATGATAAGTGGTTATGACAAAACATTACACAAGCACAAGCACCAAAACAGACAGTTTTGCAATAGAGAACGACTTGAACAGATCAACATTTAGATTATGCATGCTAGTGCTCACAAGGGTGTAGCATTACGGGGCGGTGAGCGGGGGTGAAAGATGAATTTCTACGTTTCACGGCAGGGAGTTGGGGGCGGAGGGTGGAGAGGAGGTAAAAAGTCAAAATTTTATGTGTCACGGCAAGGGGTTGGGGGCAGGGAGGGGTGAAAGATGTTCCACCACCAACACCACCAACACCACCAACATCACCACCACCACCACCACCANNACCACGACCACGACCGCCACCACCAAGAGTGAGTAGCCATTGTGGGGTCTAGCAGGTGTTGGATGTTGTAGGTGTAGGGTGGGGCGGCCGCGTAGAGTGATTGGCCATTATATAGTCTGGCTAGGGTGGGGCAGCTGTGGAGGTAATAGAAGTCTTATAGTGTGCCTGGTGGCACGACATGGCACGACACAATTCCCTGGCTGTAGCTTGTATGGTAGAAAGTTTGCTCAAAACCATCCTTTTCTAGCCCCCTAGTTCATTACAGTGGTTCGAGTTTCGGATGAACGATGAAATCTATCTTTTGAAAGCATTTGCCAAGAGTGTCTTCATTGATCAAGAACGCAAGTTGGGGGATCTAACACGATCGGATACCGTCCAAGTCTTAACCATAAACTATGCAACTCGAGATTGGAGGTTAACTTATATGACTTCTACAGCAGCTTGTGCGAAATCAAAGTCTTTGGATTCCTGGCGGATGGTCGCAAGGCTGGAACTTAAAGGNNATTGATGGAAGGGCACCACCAGGAGTAGGAGTGGAGCCTGCTGCTGAATTCGGCTCAACGCTGGAAAACTTACCAGGTCCAGAAATAGTAAGGATTAGCTGATCGATAGCTCTTTCTTGATTCTAT